TGGAGTCCACGACGAAATTGAACCAAATTGGGGCAATTGCACATCCCCGACGAATGTCACTCGTTGTCGACAGGTCACAGTAGACCCTGACGCGGCCTGTAATGTTTGGGTACAGAGCACGTAAACTGTTCTCATATTTCGTGGGAACACCTATCCGCGCAAGTATTTCGAACAGAATGCATCGATCAACTGGATCGAACGCACTCTTGAAGTCGAAGAACACAGCTATTGTCGGTCTATGATATGCGTGCCGCTGCTCTAGCATCTAACGCAGAGTGAATATGTGGTCTATACAGCCAAGTCCAGTGCGGAAACCTGCCTGCTCTTCCCTACTCCGAGATTTCCGTTCCGCATTCAGGCGACAAACGAGCGTTGAAAATAATGATTTTGTCACAACTGGCGTTAGGCAAATAGCCCTGTGGTTAGCATAGTCAGTGCGACTGCCCCTCTTGTATATCGTCACTATGATCGATTCACTCCAGTTATCCGGAACGGTCTCTTCTTTCCAGACATGTTCAAATGGGGAGGTCAGTGTTTTGTAGAGAATCTCACCTCCATCCTTAACTAGTGCATGTGGGAGGGAATCCAGGTCAGCGGCAGGAATACGATTGAGAGCTGTGACCGCGTTTCATACTTCAACCTCCGCTGGAGCATCTTAAACTAACCGTCCATGGCTTATCCTGCGTTACCTGATTAGGAAGCAATTCAGAACCAAGTGGCCAACTGAATTGATCTTGAAAGTGTTCCGCCCAACGAGCCTTACGGCGCTGCTTATTGGGAATCATGACACTTGTGCTGTCTCTGATTGTCTCACTGACGCCTGGTTTCCTGGGACCAATGGTGAGTATCATCTGGAAAAACTTGCGACAGTTGCCTACTGCTCCTGCCTCCTCCATTTCTTGAGCTCGACTGGTCCACCGTGCTTCCTTGTTAGCGCGCAGGATCCGCTTCAGTTCGCTTCTACTAGTCCGTCTGGTTACATTGTGCTCAGACCCGGTCGTGAGGTTTATTCTGGATTCCAACAGGTTCACCGACCTCTTGGATATCCAGTTACTTATGGGGTGACGGTTGATAGTACCACCAGCAGGTGCTCCCGTGTCGGGAATGGCGGCTGAAGTACTATTCCACTGAAGCTCAGTGTCAACAAGACAAAAGAACGAAAGTTCCGTACGCAGTGCCTTTTGCTAATCTTACCTGACCGAGGGCTGGACAATTTCTAATTTGCCAATTCGGGGAGATGCTTGTTGCGCCTTCCAGTAACGTTCATGGGAATACGACAGTGTACCAAACCGTGATCAAAATCAGCACAAGTACTCCAGCACGAGGGGTAGTTCCGGATGGAACCACGCCACCTGTAACTTATGATAATATCATCCATTTAGGTCCATCGTTGGTCAGCTTCAGAAGGACGCCAAGTGACACTTCGGCGCCCATTGTATCTAAAAGCGGTGCTACTAAGAAACAGCTAGTGCTCCGCATGCAGCTGAAATGGACGCTCGCCGTTGTCCGTGCAGTCGGAGCTAAGTTCATACTGACCACCTAGTTGAGCTTACGAGGAGCTCAAACGATCTGCTTGCTCATGTGCATACCCTGCGCGTACTATCCGAAGTGCTAGCACCGCGAAGAAGCGTGTTCAGTTCGTGGTAGAATGTGTCCTTGGCAGTATCAGAACTGCAGTCGGTGGGAAGCATGAGATTAAACCACAAACAAACAGCGTCCAGTACAGTTTCGTGAATCAACCTTACTTGATGTCACCAAACGGGCTTCACACAAACGGCCACACGCGAATCCAATCAACTAACAATGACAGCATTGGAACTGTGAACGATGCCCATCCCAGCTTGACCTGTGAGTGACGCATCAGCACCCCCGGATACACGCGATCAAGCCAGGCGCAGATAGTTCAACAAACCCGTGAGGGTCATTGATCCTAGTTTCGGATACGCCACACATGTCAATGCCCAGTGTGTCCAACGTGCGTGCGAGTGCAGTCTTTTGACCCGTCATAGAGTGCGAACATTGAACGCCACCACGAAAACTGGACAGTATGGCCTTCGCAATTTGGTTCACATCTGGTAGGAACACCGAGTGAGCAACGGGCGTGTTCGACGCCTTGTTTGCGGCACAGGAAAAAGAAATGAACCGCTCAGCACCGTTGTTTCACGCACCAGGCTCCGATGGCTGGGTCACGTGTTTGCGCATGCCAGCCCATCGACTTCCACGACTTGCGTTGTTTGCTCACCGGGGATGTGGATAAAAGAAGAGGAGGGGTGCTCAAGCGCTGACTTGGTCCAGAGGAATGAAGACCCTCACTTCGGAGCTGGCCTCGCTTGGAGCGTCTCGGCTCCCTGGTTGGGGTCCGAAAGACGATGAACGCGTTTGACTGGGTACACTTGCTGACATGGCTAGGTGCCGACCTCAAGGGCGTTGGTGCTGTGAATTTCTTTGTCCTACCCCATCCCTCTTAGCCTCCACCTCCAACCACGATACTACTTAACCTTATATAATTTTTCATAGTAAAATTTTTTCTGCATGGTATTTAGCTGGTAGCTTTTCGGAACGATGCCCATCCGTTACCAGTAGCTCAGCTGTCTTGCATCTGTTGAATTTTTTCCCTTTTCTTCTTTTATGTATTGCGGCACAGTAGCTGAGGTGTTTACCACCTCCAGCTGACGTGTATACTGATGATGCTGAGGCTCTCTTTCTGAGAGGTGTCCAGTGGGTGAGGCGGGAAGATAGCTATAGATAGTTCTACTCCAGTGATATTGCGTATACTGCCAATTGAACTGGGTTTTACAGTTTGAAGTGGAATAATGGGGTTGGGAGGGGTTAGAGAAGCTGGTGGGAATTAAAGAAGGGAGGTGCCAACATTAGCATGTTTTCGCTTATCCGCCCTGGTGTATCTAGCAGATAAGGCGACTCTCCAAAAGCTGCGCCACGGCCGCTGTAGGACGTATTTAAAGTTTGAAGAAATCGTTAACCAGCAAGACAGTATCGTCCGCATACTTAATATCAAGAAGTTTTCCATCAACGCCTGCATTGTCAAATTCCGCAAGGGAAAACTCCATGATGGAATCCCGGACGAAGTTAAACAAAAAGGGGAAAATTGGACAACCTTGATGAACGCTACATGTTGTCGGCAAAATACCCGACTGGTCACAGTAGACCGTGACGCGGCCTGTAATGTTCGAATACAGAGCACGTAAAATATTCACATATTTCATGGGACCACCTTTCTGTAGAAATCTTTCGAACAGTGGATCGTGCAACTGAATCCCACGCGCTGTTGTTTTCAAAGTGTACAGCTATTGTCGTTCTGTGATACTTTTGTTACTTTTTTAACACATGCCGCAAAGTAGGTACCTAGTCTGTATATCCCCTTCTTAGATGGCAATTTGCTTGCTCTTCTTTAATCCGGGATTCCCATTCCGCAGTGAGGCACCGGACCAGAATTGAGGCTAGCAATTTTGTCACTATCGGTGTTAGGCTAATACCCTTATGTTGAGCAGAGTCCCGTACATATTGCCGCTGATCAATTCACTCCAGTTGGTTGGGATGATCTCTTTCAAACAGATTTCGCAGTAAATACACTTGGGTCACTCGGAAGGGGAAAGCCAATCACACTCGGTCTTCTCTAGTGCTCACTAGGGCCATGGCAAGGTTCGGACTTGCACAAACACTCTGCTTTCATAGCTCTTGCTGTTGACCTGATCGCAATCGCTTCAGTCGCCTGCAGGAAGCTTTTCCTCAGCCTTTTCAGGTATAGTTTTGGGGCTGTATAGTAAATCTTGTAAGTGTCCTGGTTCATAATTCGCTGCCCACTTTAAACCAAGCATTCACAGGTGGCACTGTTGATATTTCTGACCTCGCATCTCCTCATTGACCCTGGACAATGTGAGCTATCTGTGCTAACAGACGTCTGGTTTTGTCTGAGGTGCTCAGCTTGAAGCTACAATTAAAGTGATATATGATGCACGATTAGGACTTGATCGGTAATCTGTTTTTATGATGTTAAGCAATAAATGGAGTGCGTTCCGCATGAACGTGCAGCTGGAAAGCTGGGTATGTTCTGGCTGCTGCGGCGGAAGGGTTCATGCGCACCATCTTGAAGACGATGTCTTCCTTTAAAAAAGTAGAGCGAGCCGCATCCTTTCTTGCAACTGTAGCCACATATTTAATGTTCTCGCGGGTCATGACGTGCTTGTCGATGAACGAAAAAGAGTTGGCATACGAAAGTAGCGTTTTGACAATTCGATCCTTCTTAACTTCGTGTGTCTCCGGCTGCAAATATTGGTGGCTCGGTGCCACATGCAGCGCATTCAGTCCCGTATTTACTTCAAAGCACGGATCTCAGAAACTGCGCTTGTTGATCGATCCACATAGCTTCTCTCAAGTGAGCCTTCTTCGTGCTTTCTCAGAAATACATCCATGAACGTCAAACTGTTTTTTCGATTCAAATAGTGAACTTTAGTGAAGAGTGTGCACTGTTATACTGATCGAGTAGACGGACATCATTTTATGAATCCAAGATGATGAACGTGTTATCCACTTTCAAGCGTTGCGTGCTCCTAAAGGTGACCCGTCGCCACTCCATCAATTTGCCTATCATAGATTCCAAATGCACCGTAAAATTAACTTTGAGCTTAGACACTGTAATGCTTGCGCATAGTCTTTTTTTCCGTTATGTATTCGCAGATGCAATTTACAGTTTTCTGAAATGAGATATTTGAGAAAAACGATTTTATCATCTCTCACAAGTTTACGCTAAACTACGTGATCGCCTAACCATGTTGACTGAACATTTCGTTTTATTGCCTCGTCGTATTTGAATATCCCGCGTTAATTTTATTCCTACATGTTTTTTCTGGCTTGTTACATGGCAGTTTTGCATCCGATGCTTCTACGCGCTTCTAAACCCTTATTAATTTAAGCTGTAATTGTTTCGTCGCCGTGCATTTCTCTAATTTCCTTAACCTTCCTTTCCTATTACATACTTTTAGAGCAAATGAACAGAATTCACTCGCATCCATTCCTCTTAACCAGCACGAACTTCTCAACCCCCTTGTCTGTCGGCGACTTGGTGCAAATGCTGTTATGTCTTGTGTTCGCTGGGTCGGTCTGATTCGTCAGCGTTTCATGTTATCTGCGAATGAATCACGAGTACTGCACCTGGAAGCGCGCGTTCCACGACCTGGTATGTATCGGTTAGACAACCTCTTGTTACGTGCCAGAGAGAAGGTTCCCAGCGGCGGGGAATTCGTCAGTCAGGCTATTCCCACTTCTTGGGTGCTCGTGGACGCTGATGCGTCAACCGCAGTAAACGCACAATCCAATCCCATGAACGGCTATGCCAGTCCCCTCCTCCATTCTACTTGTACCTCACCCTGTGTACCATACTGTTGATAGCTTACGTCGTAACCGGTACCTTCAACTCAGAAAAGTTTTTCCCATATTGATTGCCTGTTCTTCCAGGCATCTATACACGCGCCCGTCCTTCATTTTTCGCCTTCCCCTCGCACAATGCTAAATCCTCATTCCGTGCTCGCATTCCTTCCCTCATTAACTTCGACTGTCTTCTTTGGTGCTCTGTATTCATTGCTGTCCCAAGTACCTTTGCATAATATTCCAAGAAGCTGAACTAGGAGGAAGAGCATTGTCGATTTGTCGTGTTATTCTATTAGGCTGCTCAGTGGCGCACCACATATTGTTGATGACTGTGCCTACCGGTTTTCATGTATGCGAGGTTAAACGGCTGTGATACGATTTGTCTATGGAGATGGGCCCGAGCATTCGAGCTAATTGGTCGTGATTCATAGCGGTCTGTCAATTTGCTAATTGGTCTGGTTTCACTGCTTTACAAACTACTGGACAACTCACACTTCTCGTTTACATTGTGTGTGTGCGTTTGAAACATCTTGGGATTGGCCGTTGCATGTTACCAATTCCTAGAGTTTCTTCAACTCTTAACAATTTTGTTACTTGGCACTGTCTCTACAGCATGTCTTCATGCCTAAGATCCTGTGGTGCCAACTACTACCTCAAGTGGTAAGACATTATGATCCTTCTGACTGCATTCAACTGCCCCTTCGCAGTCCACTAATTTCCTAACCACGTTTATTTCCATCGCATATTTGCTAATCTTTCGGTACTCGAGTTTGCCAACTCCCCAAGGTGTGTAAGGACTAGTATTCTATGGGTCTTCCTCCGATGACATGCAACTGCAAGCTGTCATCCTAGATTCTCCAACATTTCAATTCCGCGATTCCTACTATATCACGCATGCGTCAGCTTGCCCTAAAGTGTTAAACAGCAATGAATCGTACATCCCCCTACTAATACGAACATTCTATGGAACAATCTGCGAGGTTCTGAGCATCGCTTGGGGTGTCATGCGTAGTAGCATCCTAAGTCACATTGACCTGAAAAATATCATTCATGCGTGAAATAGTGGTAACAGGCAGCTGAAGTGTGGTGAAGTATACTGTGTAGGTGTGTATTCACGATAATTAAGTTCCGAGCTCATAGAAGTTGGTATAGACCGCTAGCTTGTTAGAATTCGTTTCCGCGTTTGCCTGTTCATGGCTCCTATGGCAATTACCGTTTTCAGCGCTCCATTACTGGACAAAGTCCAAGTTTGGTAGTGAACGGCTGAATACCTAATTTAACTGACTAGCTACTATCCAACTACGCAGGCAGCGCAAGTATGTCTCAGACGTCGCTCCTACAGGAACTGGCGTTTATTCGGCGAAGTCAGTTCAGCGGAAATTACAGCACCTTTGGTTTGAAGAAGGCTTCGATGTTACTGTCACTACACTCCCATAAACAATGGGTCGATGATGTTCCTGCTTTGACTCAGTTAAACAATGAGAAACACCGTAACGCACACGAGCATTAGCCAATTTTCTAATGCTCAAATCCGTCATGTTCGTCCCCCGTTGTGTTTCTGCGTTGCGTGTTTCATTCAGCTGTTCGATCTGATAGGACACCCATCATCTCGTTCGTACTTATTCGATATCTCTCTCGGAACCACATTCAAATTGTCTTCGTTTAACAGTTGAATTGGCAATAACCCAGGAAGCAATTGTTAATTTCTGACAATGGGATTAATTTACGTGCTGAAGTACTGCAATCTATCCAAGGCGTTTAGTGATCTCGACATGCTTTTGAAACTCTATACCCGGCTTGCTGATACGAAGACTGAGATCCGATTCCTGCAGGATTACATAGTATGTAATCACTATCCAAATACTTATTGGAAATCGCTCCGACGAATCCATGTTCGACTAAATATATGCTTATAATCTCCTGGAGGCCGTTCAGTCTCGACTCCCTGAACTGGAACGGTTGTGTTCACTTTACTCGTCTATGATTGGCGAACTCAATGATGACCACCGTCCTATAGGCGGGAAAAAAGCAAGAAGACAAAAGAAGGAAGATACACAAAGCTACTCAAAACCCCGAAACCTTGTTCACTGGCAATATAGTTTCCTTCCAATCCCGCTAAATCTGTGCATACTCTATCTAGTAGCTCAGGTTGTTCAGATGGCTGTTGAATTGTTCGCTGCGCTTGGCAATTTTGTTGCAAACGTTTCGTCACCAATCGAGGTGACATCATCAGTGCGTAGTTGAGTGGCGTACAATAACGTAAAGGAGCCTCGGTGAGAGTGCACTCTATCTAGCCAGCGACTGAACATGGTGCATCACGTCGCTCTGCTACTCGGGCCAAAATTTTGCCTCTCTCAAGCGAAAACTGGCAAAATCATCTGGAGACTCAAGTGAACAATTTAATGCACCAACTAGTGAACATAACATCATTATCACACGCAAGCGATACGTTCAAGACCACTTTAGTACTTCTCGCTCATCGGTATCGTGACTCCAAGCCCCAAACATCTAACATTCCGACAAAAAAGCTCCGTAACGCAATCAGAGATTTGATGTCAAACCCAGAGTTGATCTTTTCTCGACCTAATAAATGGTCAGGTTGGGTATTTATGAACAGATCCGATTACGTCTCAAAAATGAAGACAAATCTCAGCGACAGCAGCAAATTTCGAGAAGATACCATCCAAAAGTGCACTTCACAGGAAATGGGAAAAATAATCAACCTTTCGAACTGATTAAGAGGCGAAGCGTATACACAATACACTTTCCTCAAATCTAACCTCCTATGGCTCACATCCTCACCGATTCTATGGATTGCCTAAACTGCACAAAGCCAACGTTCCCATGCGGCCAATACTTGATATGTCTTCCTCGACTTATCACTCTGTCACAAAATGCATAACCGGTACGTAACGAGTTATCGATTTATACAGTGGTAGATACTTTTGAGTTCCTTCAACGAATAGAAAACTTAAACGTGAGTGATGAATCGATGCTATCATTTGACGTGGAATCGCTTTTCACTAACGTACCGTTGATAGAGATTGAATTTCATTTGTGACTACGTTACTGAAACATGGATGTTGGAATTCCAGTACGAAAACATCCTTCTTACGTTGAACCTTCAATGTACACTTTCATTTTGGTGGGATCTATTACCGACAGATAAATGGGGTCGCAGTGGGTCCTCTCCTATGTTCACTCTTGGCGGACATCTTTCTCGCAAGGCTCGAAGGAGGGCACCTAAGTAACCACATCGCTTCTCTTTTTTCTTACTGCCGTTACCTGGGTGACACATTCATTGTCTGTGACTCATCCACGGATCACGTCAGCCTACTAGATCAGTTTAACCAAGTGCATCCTGTTGTAACCCGGTGTTAAAAGAATGGGCACATTTCCAGAATCTATGTATTTTACCAAGTTGGGCTACAGGCCTGAAGTTGGAGAACCGTACTGCGTCAGCCCCCCATGATGCCGAATGCGAACGCTGCTCTGGCTATGACGGAGTGTTCAATGCAAGGATAGATAGCGGTTGATCAGTGATCATGGTGCTTGGGTTAGTTAGAATTGTTCTAGCCATAACACCTCCCCGCAAACAAAAAGTATTACTTGCTTGACATTCCTGAGGGTCTTCTGACACTTGGACTGTTGCAGCTGCAACGGAACTGGGACTGTTGCTGTCCCTTATTTGGAGCTCGGAACATTTGCTGTAAGCCATTGTTGCTTTCTGCGTCAACTGAAGGCTCTTCGGTATTCTGGCACTTGCGGACTAGAGAAGAAAATGTCGAGTGACTGTCTCGATCATTCCTAATTGCCTGAGGACTCCCGGCTGAAAATGCAATTGTCGAGTGACGGTCTCAATCATGATTAGGTGCTGAACCTCCACTTGGCCGAACAGATAAGTGTCGGGTGAAATCCAGATCATGTGTAGCCGAGCGGGTCCAAATTGCTCACGTTCTTGTGAAAAAAAATTACATTCCTAGTCATTATAAAAACACCGTCTTGATCCATCCCATCTCCGTCGCCAAATTATTGCAATCCGGTGTTAAATGAATAGGCACATTTCCAGAATATAGGTATATGACCAACTTGGGCTACAGACCTAGTTGGAGAACCGTACTGCGTCAGTCCCCCATGATGCCAAATGCGAACGCTGCTCTGGCTATGACGGAGTGTTCAATGCAGGGATAGATAGCGGTTGATCAATGATCATGGTGGTTGGATTTGTTAGGCTTGTTCTAACCATAACAAATCCCTCAGCTTCGTTAGTGAAGTCGAAAAAATGGCTGTCTCGCCTTTCTAGACGTTCTACTGCACAGACATGACGACGGAACAATCGAAAGAAGTATCTTCCGCGAAGAGACGTGGGTAACTCAATATACCCACTTTCTCAGTTTTGTACCTCTGAGATACAAGCGAAATTTAGTTCGTTATCTGTGCCGTCGCGCAAGAGCCATCTGCAGCCCTAAGACGCTTGAAAGAGAAGCAAAGCTCATCTTCAGCATCTTGCAAGGAAACGGGTATCCCATTCATCAATAGCATTCTATTCCACCTGATGCTGCCAAATCTGTGGTTACACTGCCAAGAAAGAATGTCATCCTGACATTGCTTTCGGTTATTGAATAAAGAACTTGCAGCCGCAATGGTTCAGATGTATCCAGCTGCTAAGCTAAGTCCACCTGCCGAAACGAAACCATTAATTTCTCAACAACTGAAGGGAAAGCTCCTGTCCAGTCTGCTTTCTTTATTTTATATCAGCTTATTCTAATCGCTCTTAATGGGGCTTAGAGCCGTCAGAACAAAGACTTTCACCGCACCGGACAGTGTATTGACCAGGTCTCAAGTCACATGAAACTAGCAAGACCGCCCGCAATATAGGTTGAGAGTGTGTGTCGGACAGGCGGCAGCCTGACGCATATAAAACAACAATTGACCAGTGGATGAGAGTCAATTTCACGGTCAGGTGTGTGCTACAACATTATACTTTTAAGGCACCGGTTCGCCTGGTGTAACATCCCTTTTGAAAACGCATTCTCCAGACTCATACGAATGAAGTGCTGAGTTCACCTGTAAACATCGAATCGGTTTAGTTGTCCGCATAGGTCTTCGTGGCATGGCTCTGCGCACGTTTCGTCGACTCACTAAGCCACACACCTTTTGGTAGTTCAAACGTGTGCAGCAGTATATCGAACGGCAACTCGAAAGGAGAAGTGATTATGTGTTCGATCCGTCGTTTGCGTGACTGATTAACATGCCATACGAGGGACAACGGTCTGATAGACACCTCGTACAGCACAGTACCTTTTCTCTTTCGTACCACTGCAGGCTGCCAGGTTTGGTGGTTCGGCCTTGTATGCAACGCGTACACCGGCTCCCGTGGTAGAACACTTCTGCTCACGCCTGATGCGAA